GCAATGCTCGAGGCTCGTTGTCGGGTTTTGCCCTTTTCTTTTTTTTAAATCCCTCACCCCAAGAAGAGAGAGGAGAGAACACACAACCCCTACAACCCAAGGCGGGCGGCCAACTTGTCAGCGTCTGGTGCGCAACAAGAAGAGAGAGGGGTGGGGGGTGGCTCCCTGGGGTGTTTCACTTATAAAATGAGTGGGATTGGGCATTGAATGTCAACGTGACGAGATTCACCGACGCGCGGGTAAACGGCGGGAGTAACTATGACTCTCTTAAGGTAGCCAAATGCCTCGTCTTCCAATTAGAGACGCGCATGAATGGATTAATGAGATTCCCTCTGTTCCGAGTTACTATCTAGCGAAACGACAGTCAAGGGGACGGACTTGAAGGGCTAAGCGGGGAAAGAAGACCCTGTTGAGTTTGACTCGAGTCTGGCTCTGTGCGGCGGCATCTGAGGTGTAGTATAGGTGGAAGCACAAGCACCAAAGAAATACCACCACTCGGAACGTTGCTTGAACTGAATACAGTCGCATATTCGGAAAAAGTGTGTGTATATATATTTATATCGGTATCAAAAGAAAAGAGTGTAAGAGTGGGCTGAATAAGTATGAAATGGAAAGACTTTTTCAATAATAACTCTTGCACCACAGATTGGTGTTTGCTACTTTGAATGTCACATACTTATTTGTATCTTCCTTCTTTTCACCTGCTTTCTGCAAAAAAAAAAAAAAAATGATTCTTCTAAGAGACAAGAGAATTAATATTTAGACCCATTGTCTTGAAATAACTCAATAAAATACATAGAAATAAACACCCAGATAAAGAGATCAAAGGAGGGACGACACGACATTATCAAGGTATGAGGAAAAATAAGGCAATGTCCTGCAGAATGTTCTTCGCGCTTCTTCTTATTCTGTGCTCAAGCGCCGTCCTCTCTCACGCCATGTCCACAGAAGAGCGCGAGAGAAGCAGAGTCATACTCTTTGAACGAGGAGTGACGGCAGTGCCGTTCGAAGAAGATAATGGGACGACATATCAAAGAAGAGTTCATTCATTCCGTATTCCTTCTCTTGTTGACGTGGATGGTGTGATGGTCGCCATCGGTGACGCCCGTTATAATACGTCTAACGACAACTCCTTTATCGAGACAGTGGTAAAGTACAGCGTAGACGATGGGAAGACGTGGGAAACACAAATTGCAATCCAGAACACTCGTGTGAGTAACGTTTCTCGTGTGGTGGATCCTACAGTCATCGTAAAGGGGAACAAGGTTTACATGCTTCTGGGAAGATACAACAAGTCGACCAATAACTGGAATCAGCACCCCGATGGCAAGGATTGGGAGCCTGTGCTTTCTGTTGGTGAGGTGAAGAAGACAACGATAAATGGCAAGGTGAATGCAACGATTACATGGAACAATCCTGTCTCACTAAA